CACCAACATTCAAACTTGATCTGTGTTATGTGGTAATAAGCATTGTGTATAAGTTTCATAATATTTTGTTGAGGCAAACTTAAGTTAGAGAATGGAAACGAAAAATTATCAATTTTTCCATTTATAAAGGGGCATAACTCTATAACAGTTAAAGTGACGCCACCAAAATTCAAACTTGATCTGTGTAATGTGGTAATAAGCATTGTGTATAAGTTTCATAACATTTTGTTGAGGCAAACTCAAGTCAGAGAACGGAAACCAATTTTGGGACGTAAGGACCGACGTACGTACAGACGGACAAGGGTAAAACTTAATGCCCCCACCGCTACGGCGGGGGCATAAAATGATATTTCGGATTAGATTGAAAAGGATCGTATTAAAGCTTAATTACAGATTGATTTCGTTATTTATTAAATATATTGGATAAGTCCCCTAGTTTATCATCAGATCAGTAGTTAGTACTTCGGTACTGACATGATTTATAACAAACCGTTCTATATTTGATTAACTCCAAGGGGGAATTGGAAATAGAAATATAGTCACTTAGGTCCTCTCCCAATCGGCAGTAAAATCCTTGCCCAAGTGGGGTGTCCGATTGGATGTGTAGGATGTTCAAATACGCAGCCACGTCCGGCCAGAATGGGACGTGCACAGAGTGCCACGCTCACTGCACGTTAAGAACCCTTGCAACAGCTTGCAAGAGGTCTGTAGGTGGCCTGTTGCAAGGCAAAATTTCTGTTCATATCTCATTTACTCTTATTTCAGTGGCAGCCCAAATTTCCCGACTTTCATTCCAATTGTTAATTGTTTCCTGCCTTGAAATTACATGGAATATTTGCCACTGGACATTAAGCAACTAACAATCAATTATTAAAAATGGTCGTTTATAAAAAGAATTATAAAGAAATTAAGGTTTCAACTCATTCAGGCAAAGTTGACCTTAGTGGATTTGGCTATTTTATAGGTCCTTTTCAGTCATATAGCTCTTCAAATGTTTCTGTTCTTATACATCTTTGGCTTTCAAATATTCGACTTTGAGCGTCCTGGATGAAAATCAATCCATAAAAGCGCTTCAGACGAATGAAATTCATACAGTGTAACATAACAAATAACATGTACCTCAAGTACAGAACAATTCAAAATACAACCACCCAAACTTAATGATCATTAATATATCTTACCAGCACAACTTTGGACAGGCTTTGTCTACTTAACATACAAATCAACTGTACCTCAAGTACAGACCAAATCAATCTAGATACAACCGAAACAAATAACAATAATGTCTTTTACCTTCAACTTTCAACAGGCTTTGTCTACTTGACGTATATATCAACTGTACCTCAAGTATAGACAAATTCAACCTAATTACAACCGAAACAAATAACATTTATGTCTTTACCTTCAACTTTCGACAGGCTTTGTCTACTAGAGATACACATCAACTGTATCTCAAGTACAGACCAATTCAATATAAACCACCCAAACCTAATGATCATTAATATATTTTACCAGCACAACTTTGGACAGGCTTTGTCATACAAATCAACTGTACCTCAAGTATAGACCACAAATAACAATAATGTCTTTTACCTTCAACTTTCGACAGGCTTTGTCTACTAGAGGTACACATCAACTGTACCTCAAGTACAGACCAATTGAATCTACAAACACCGATACCTAAAGAACAATAATGTGTTTTACCATTTTTTACTACATGTTAATTACATATAAATTTAACAGACAGACACTATCCCATTCAAAATATTCACCTATTTAAAATTATATTGCTATCTGGCATATAAACTGATATTTGAAGAAAAAAATGCACACTTAATTTTATTAAATATATACATAATTAAATTTTGTATAATGAATCAATTTTATACAACATAAATACACATTTATATACAATGTATTGTTTAAAGACAGAAATCACTGAAATTTGTAATTTAATTTGAATACAAGTAGATGAACAATATATCACATAAATGGAGAGGGTATAATAAGACCACTTTTGGCCAAATGAATTAGAATAATACAAAGTATTTTAAACCATTAAATAACGTCCTTCAGATATTTAAACATACAGAAATAAGAAGATGTGGTATTATTGCAAATGATCCAACAGGGACCAGATACAAAATGACATAGGTGTAAGCAGTTTGTCATCATAAAGCTTTCAACAATGAGCAAAACCCTTACTGCATAGCAAACTACAGGCCCAAGAACACAGTTATTTCTTAGTGCACTTCTTAGACAATAAATGGAAATTAAAAAAATCCAACCTGCACTTTTTTTATAATATTTTTACAGTGTGGTGTACTACTTTTGGGACAAATTATATCAATATTATAGAAAACTTCTTCAGCTCTAACTCAAAATATGGATAATTTTATGTTAAGGGGGTCTTGAATTCTTTTGACAGCTTCCGAAAATACTAATTTTTAACCTTTTTTAGCTGGACCAAAATCACTACTTTACTTTAAAATTATGACCCAAACTTTTTTTACAGTGTAGTTTCATCCCCCTACTTAATATTTCAGGCATAAAACATGAAGAAATAAATTTGGAAAGTGCATAAAAATAATGGAAAGTAACACACTGTCCACACTAGGGACTATATTTGTAGACACCAAAATCAAGTGACGATAACTGTGTTCCCGGACCTATAACAGTACACACGCTGAAGTGTCTTGCCTTCTTTACTGACCATTGATTTTATGTTGAAAGTCTAAAAAGATAAAGGTTTTACTACAATAGTATCACATAAACTTCACATTTTTCAAGATCTATGACAATGAGGTCAAGGTTAGATAAATCCTGTCAGACAGACATGTTCACCGTGCAATTATTCCATACACCAAATATTGTTGACATGTTGCTTAATATGGTAATTTGAACAGATCAAAATACAAAAACTTAACATTACTGTGTGTTTGTTTATTCTACATTGGATAGAGGTCCAGGGGGAGGGTTGACATCTCACAAAACATGTTTAACCCCGCCGCATTTTTGCGCCTGTCCCAAGTCAGGAGCATCTGGCCTTTGTTAGTCTTGTATGTTTTTTAATTTAAGTTCATTTATATGTTTTGGAGTTTAGTGTGACGTCTATTTTCATCGAACTAGTACACATTTTGCTTAGGGGCCAGCTGAAGCCCGCCTCCGGGTGCGGGATTTTCTCGCGGAGTTGAAGACCCATTGGTGGCCGTCATCTGTTTTCTGCTGTTTGCTCGGGTTGTTGTCTCTTTGACACATTCCCCATTTCCATTCTCAATTTTATTGACCAAATGAACTATAAAAAATGAGGTCAAGGTCCGATGATACCAGCTAAAATGACCTGTGCACCTTACAATCATTCCATACACCAAATATAGTTGACATATTGCTTAAATTACTTCAAAACAGACCAAAACACTTGACATTGACCAATGAACCAAGAAAATAAGGTCAAGGTCAGGTGAAAGCTGCCAGACTGACATGTACCCTTAAAATCATTCCATGCACCACATATACTTGACCTAATCATGTAACTTTAACCTTGATCACTGATCCATGAAATGAAATCAAGGTCAGGTGAACCCTGTCTGACAAACATGTAGACCTTGCAAGGAACCCATACAACAAATATAGTTATCCTAGTACTCATATAATGAGTGAGAAATTCAATAACAAATAAATGAGGAATGTGTCCATGGGACACAGATGATGCCCCCGCTTGCATATAACGTTATAAAGGGACACAACTCAAGAAGGGTAAAAGTGACGCTGCCCAAATTTGTACTTGATCTGAGTTTTGTGGTAAAAAAAAAGTTTTATTTTTATTCAACCAATTGTCAAGGACAATGAACATATGACAGACAGAAACTTCTTAACATATGGAATCTTCATACAAGGTATGATGTATCCAGGTCTTCTACCTTCAGATATAAAAAGCTTTATACAAATAGTTTACGACGCAGTTGCATTGTTATCCCTATGTCTTGCATGCTGTGACTTTTGTTGCAGGCGAGACAAAAAAGTAACTGACATGATAAAACATAACAAAAATTCAAACAAGACAACGAACAGCCTAACTCATGTGTAAAACAACAGAAAAAACAAAAATTGATATACAGTAACAAACAATAACCACTGAAGTACAGGCTAATGACTTTGGACAAGCACATACAAAAATAAATAATATGTACATAACATGAACTGATAAATTTAATATTTTTATGCAATATTAGTGCCCTTAAATGGATTTTATCATATTATGTCTTAGTAAAAACTCATCATAGATACAGATAAAACTCATCCTGAAACATGCACATCAATAATCTAATTTGTTCATACTTTTTAAATCATAACAAAATATCTTCCAAATATAATGAATAACTTTATAATTTACAAAATACTCACAAAACAATTATAGGCCAAGCAGTGTGTATTCTAAATCAACAGAAAAAACATATACAAATTATCTGCTATTGACAATAATTTACCCGTAGCCTTTCTTAAAATTATGTATTGTAATGATTAACAAATCCATTTGTACATGTTTACTATCAAAACATGTGCATAATCTGGATAACAAATATGTATTTAATAAATAAATGTGTATATGAACCTTCTAGAATAATAAAAATCTACTAATAAGGTTAAGGTAAAATGCTTTTAAAATCAACAAAAATTATTTAATATGGTCAAAATGCAATAACATAACATTAAGGGTTCCATTTTTACTGCACCAGATATGCATTAACTAATGTCTCTTTAGTGATGCAATCTAATCTAACAAAAAATGTGTTCAAAGCAAAACACAAGTAGTTGCAATTTGTTCACCAAATAAAAACAGAATATTTTGAAACTTTTAAAACAACACCAATTTTATCTCTAACCAATTTAATATGCAAAATAATTAAGTGTTGCATTAAGATTTATGCTGTATTGATATGCACAACGTACTCCTACAGACAAGATTCTTCCTTATTTCACATATAAAATATGGTTGGATGGAGGAGGGATGGAAAGAAGATAAATCTTGTTATTCTAGACATTTTTGCCCTGCTTTTATTTTCAAGAAATTAGACAATTACTTACAATTTATTCGAAACCTGATTAAAAGGAAGGATAGGTGCAAATACTTTGTCAAAAAGGCTGTATGTACAACTGATGAACTTAAAAAATTTATATAAGTTGATGTGAAACAATTAAAAAATTAATTAATGCTAAAATCAAGTGAATTTCAGCTTACATTAATTTCTTTTGTGAAGACCATTTACAATTACAATTTCATATGAAAGCTAATTTCATATCAGATTTAAATAACTCAAATTGGTAAAACATGGTGGATAAATAAATAAATATTTACATATATAAACAAATACTGTTTAGGGAGCAAGATAAAATTCATACATGTCTGATGTTGCTCTTTTTCCTGTCAAAAATAATACAAAAATTCATCAAAATATCAAAATCAACATAAAAAAAATTAGGGTTAGTCAGGAAACCCTAAGCCTTAAACAACAAATATATTTATTGCCCTAAGCTATAAGCTTTATTTCAACAAAGGTTTTAATAAATAATAGCTGAAAGTATGATTTTAGTTTACTCACAAAAGGACACCTTACTCTAAGAATGGTTTTACTGCTAGATGGGAAAAGTCAATGGATTGCAATATTTCTATACCCAAGTCAACCCTAAATGTTATCAATCACTCTATATATGTGCATTGATGAACATAGAAGCAGGTTAAAAGCAACAAATTAATACGAATCATATCTTGCAAATATGGTATTTGAAAATATCAATTGAAACTGGCCCTGTTTATAGAAACTGAGCTACTTATACAAAAATATAAAAGCAATCAAAACAAACTTAAAATATGGTAGATACTGCTTAGTCTACATTCTCTATCTGCTGTTCTTTTCTGCTGATGCAACATGGAGAAAACTGAACAAATCCAAGTGTAAGTAATGGTGTTATTAATTCTTTTCTATCTGCAGCCTTTAAGTAATTATATGGTCTGCTATAGTACACAACAGGACTGTTAACACACTGGTTCCCGGTCATTATTTCTTCAAACTGTACAGTGTTACATTGGAAATAGGAAAATGTTACCTGCATAAAAAAAAATCAAAATGAATGGCAACTTCAATTTACAAATCTGAAATAAATCATAAACATCTTAACTGAACAAAATTGCAGATACCTCAATTTGTTCATGCTTCATATTATACAGTAGTTTAAGTTAAAAATAAAAGTAAATTAGATAATCAAACTTAACCAAAAAAGTTTTTGAAACAAAAGAAATTACTAAATAGATTCATCTAAAAAAAGTTTCTCCTTGTTATGCAAACCTTGATCCTAAATTTAATTGTTGATTGATGCTTTAGGGGAATTTTCAAATAGAGGTATATCATTTTTCGAGACAAAAATTGGTGTCATTCTCATTGGAAAAAATACATTTCCTGTATTTAAATATACATGTTCAAAAAAATTGTACGGTTAAATAATAATATAATTGGGAATAAACAAATACATTTCTTGCAGAAAATGCTCTAGTTAGAGTTAAGTCATTTTGCTAACTGTTTAACGCAAATTATACCGGTAATTGTAATTTCAATAAATGACTTCATGCAGATTTTATTTTTCCTCTTTTCTTTGAAAAAACAGACGTCTTATAAATCCTTAAATATTCACCTTTGACACATAATAAACAGAATGATTTCATATAGTGTAGATCAAACGTAATTATAGGTAAATTACTGTAAACCAACTAATTGTTGCGAGCGATCTATTTTCCCGGATAGAAAAATAACGCGAATATAAATCGTTAGAAAACTTGTAAAACTTTGATCTTATCTTATTTTAATACATGAAGTAAATTTGAAAATCGCGAAATTTAAACAGCCGCAAAGTGGTCTAAAAAGTTTACTTAAGTGTTGTTGTCATTTTAGTGGTATTTAATTTTTGACAACCCTTCATACCATCTGGTATCAACTCAAGGGAACTCTACCAGCACAAAACATAGGAGGCATTGGTTCAGCAGCTCTTTATTTATTTTCGATATTCTGAACCCCTGCATTCCTGGATCCGCTTATACCACACAGCGCCGACCCCATGGCCATCTCTACACTGAGCAAGAACGAAGAATTCCAAGAAGCCAAAAATCAACTGATACCATCAATTACTGCCGAAAAACCACCAAACAAAAGGAAAATTGTATGAAGAACAAACAGAGGATAAAATTGAGAATGGAAATGGGGAATGTGTCAAAGAGACAACAACCCGAGCAAATAGCAAAAAACAGCCAAAGGCAACCAATGACATTGGTTACTTTTTGTCATCTTACACATATATTGACTTTGGTTACCTCTGGTCATCTTACACAGATATTGACGATGGTAACATCTGGTCACCTTACGTCAATATTGATTTTGGTTACCTCTGGTCACTTTGCACATATATTAAATATGGTTACCTTTTAACTTCATAGTACTATTTTACTTCACCATGAAAACCAATTATACCATGCATTTTTCGATATATAAAATTGAGAATGGAAATGGGGAATGTGTCAAAGAGACAACAACCCGAGCAAATAGCAAAAAACAGCCAAAGGCCACCAATGGGTTTTCAACTCAGCGAGAAAATCCCGCACCAAGAGAAGGGCTTCAGCTGGCCCCTTAACAAAAATGTGTACTAGTTCAGTGAAAATGGACGTCATACTAAACTCAAAAACATATAATTGAACTAAAATTAAAAATCATACAAGACTAACAAAGGCCAGAGGATCCTGACTTGGGACAGGCACAAAAATGCGGTGGGGTTAAACATGTTTTATGAGATAACATACTTACAACAGGGCTGCAAATAAATCAAGATGTATATGTACCATCGTTCCGTGCCATCAGAAAATTGAATGTAAAATTGTTTACGTGTGAAACCATACAAAGGATCTTTCAGGAGCAAATGGAGATGACACAAAAAAGCCAAGATAGATTTCCAGGAGTATTTAGAACCTACCGAAATTGAACTTTAAAGAATTAAGATGCAAACAACATAAATCCATCCCAACATGATTTCCAGTTAAACCTACATTGCAAGAAATTTTGCAACGGTGAACTACTTAACGGCATTCCAGACATGATTGGAAGTAGTACCTCTGGCCACTTACTATCAGAACAGTTTACAACATTTTTTTTAAGATAAAGAAGATTACAACAATAATAGATTAACTCTGAATTTAGTAACTTAATTTGCATTGTACTATTTTTGATTCATTTTCTGTTCAACATTACATAATTACATATAGTATCCTATAGCAACGTCAACAATAGACAATTATGACATCACATACTAGATACCATTTTTTTGTACTTCAGGGGTTCTAATTTTTTATACTTTGTCCTGAAGACGCCGATCTAATTGGTGAAACATGTCGACCAATAAAAGATGCAGTTTTCTTAAGTGTTGCTATTCTGTACATGTACAAAATGTCAAACAACTAACATGCTATTCAGGTCAAGAATTGCATGTACAGTTGTGTAATGAATTGTGTAAGAAAATGTCTGTTCAATGAAGCAATACAAGGGTATGGTATTAGCTGTGGTCAATTCAGACTAAAATTGAACTGTGCAGGATGTATAAATTCATGGAAATTTAGTCATGTTTAGTCAAAATGGGGACATTAAATCTGATGACTCATGGAAAGATGTTTCTGCTCTCTTTGCGTTTTAAGAACCCTTGCTACAACTTTTTGGGGGTCTACAGGTGGCCTGTTGCAAGGCAAAATTTCTGTCCCTATCCAATTTACCCTAGATTTCCAGAGGCATTTAAAATCCCTCACCCAAATTCATTCTGGTCAACCCCCTATTACAGGACCTACTGATTGTATTAATTGTAAATTTGTCTTGTCCTCAACATGCATGAAATATTTGGCACTGGATGTAAAGCAATCAACAATCAATCAATCAAGCTTTGTCATTAGATAATAAACAAGCATTCTGTGAGTATTGCATGGCAATACATAGTCCCCTACCGGTTACAAATTCATTGCATTGGAACAAAATTCTAACTTGATCTATAACTTGTCATGGTGTAAACTATATAACAAATATCAAGTCAATCTCTTCAAGCAGGATGAAAAAAAGTGTTGAAAACTCATTATTTAAGTGAATTTTCTAAGTCCAAGGACCAAAACTCTGCACAAAATCATCAGACCGGAACAAAATTCAAACTTGATCTGTTACTTGTTTTGATAAAACAATACGTCAAATATCAAGTCAATATCTTCAAGCATGCCGGAAAAAAGTGCGGAAAACTGATTATTTGAGTGAATTTTCTAAGTCCAAGGACCATAACTCTGCACAAAATCATCAGACGGGAACAAAATTCAAACTTGAACTGTAACTTGTCATGATAAAACTACATACCAGTTATCAAATCAATATCTTCAAGAATGACAAAAAAAAAGTGTGAAAAACTGATTATTTTAGTGAATTTTCTGAGTCAAAGGACCATAACTCTGCACAAAATCATCAGACCGGAACAAAATTCCAAATTGATCTGTTACTTGTCATGATTAAACAATACACCAAATATTAAATCAATATCTTCAAGCATGAAGAAATAAATTGCTTTGCCGAGCGCAGCTGGATACGACCGCAGAGGTCCAACCCTGAACAGTTGGGGCAAAAATTGACACAATATTCGCTCTTAATACAGGTCTGAATTTGGATTGTAATTAAATATTTGACAAATCTTTTGCGGTCGTATAAAAAGGTGTGGAACACTGATTTGCTGGACTGACGGATTGACAGACAGATAGACAGACAGACAAGCAGACAGAAAGACAGACAGACGGACGGAGTGCACACCTAAAGTCCCCTTCGACTTCGTCGGTAGGGGACTAATAAAAGATCAATGCTTACATGTGTCTTCTGTACAATGATACCTAATAGACCATTCTTCTGTGATAAAGGGTAATGCAATAATAGCTCTCCTCCATGCTGACCCTGTAATCTATCATCAAGGTGCCATATAACTTGCTCTTTACCTATTACTTTCTTTTTCCCTGACCTTGTACTATACTGTAAGGAAATAACCAAGTCTTCCTTTGCTTTAAATTCTTTCTTAACCTAGAAAAACAATCAAATAAAAAGGTTGTTTTAAGATTGTGTTCCTCAGCTGTGATCCCTTACCTCTTACACATGAAGCATACAGCAAGAAAAATTTCAATATTCAGTCTTCATGATATATTTTGTAGCTACAGACCAGATGCTGCTTTTTCAAAAAATTTGCATAGATTATAATGGCCTGTTGAAGAGGTTCTTCAAGCATGGGCTAGTTGTGAAGAGAATACTTGAAGAAAATGTTCTACATGTTATAAATTGTAATCAATCTAGAATGCCCAAGTAAACAAGTGTAGCGTCACAAAGACTTTACACTATAATACATGAAATATGTTACGTTCCCGCTGTATTTACAACAAGCTGGTTTGTGTCTAACCCCATATCCATAGGGGGTCACCACGTGACGGCGTCAAACCAATCACAATGTCATAATTTACCCGCGGTGCAATAAATATTTATTACATGGATTTAAATTTATGTTCTCTGGTGAGGACAATTTCAAATTTCAAACTTTAGTCATGTTTTGGTTAAGAACTGTCATATTACTATATCAATTCATTAAACTACTCTTACAAATAGTTGAATGGGTCATTATGCTAAGCATACTCGCAATGTAAAGTAGTGGAAACAGAAAGAAGGTTTTTGAGAGATCCAAAGGTGCTCACATATAACAATTAGTCACTTTCAAGCTGCTGACCAAATTTGAAGTCATTCTGCTCAGCAGTTCATGAGACATGGCTAACAATAATATTTATTTTTGATGAATGAGTGACAGGAAGGACAAAGTAAGTGCAAGATAGTCCCCATTCCTAGTGCGGGTGTGAGTTCCCAAATGAATAGTTACATATATTTCATGTAACGTTATGTAAGTTTATGTGCTACAATCGTTTTCAGATCACACAAAAATAAATACTATGCACTAAGGTAAGGAACTAGAGGCTCTCAAGAGCCTGTGTCGCTCACCTGTATTTACTGATGCTTTGGAAATCATGTAAAATAAGGTTAAAATCATAATTAATAGTATTAGATATTAGATATTATAATGATATCTAAGATAATAACAAAAAACTGCAAAATTTTTGTAAAATTACTAACTCAGGGGCAGCAACCCAACAACGGGTTGTCGGATTCGTCTGAAAATTTCAGGGCAGATAAATCTAAATCTGATGAACTTTTTTGCCACCAGTCAGATTTGCTCTAAATGCTTTAGTTTCAGAGATATAAACCAAAAACTGCATTTTACCCCAATGTTCTATTTTTAACCAAGTCGGCCATGATGGTTAGAAGGCGGGGTCATCGGACAAATTTTTCAAAGTAGATACCCTAATAATGATTATGGCCAAGTATGGTTATATTTGTCTCAGTAGTTTCAGAGAAGAAGATTTTTGTAAAAGATTACAAAAATTTACAAAAAATTGTTAAAAATTGACTATTAAGGGCAATAACTCCTAAAGGGGTCGACTGACAATTTTGGTCATGACAACTTATTTGTAGATCTTACTTTGCTGAACATTATTGCTGTTTACAGTTTATCTCTATCTATAATAATATTCAAGATAATAACCAAAAACTGCAAAATTTCCTTAAAATTACCAATTCAGGGGCAGCAACCCAACAACCTGTTGTCAGATTTGTCTGAAAATTTCAGAGCATATAGATCTTGACCTGATAATCAGTTTTACCCTATGTCAGATTTACTCTAAATGCTTTGGTTTCAGAGATATAAGCCAAAATCTACATTTTACCCCTATGTTCTATTTTTAGCCATGGCGGCCATCTTGGTTGGTTGGTGGGGTCATCGGACACATTTTTTAAACTAGATACCCTAACAATGATTGTGGCCAAGTGGTTTCAGAGGAGAAGATTTTTGTAAAAAGCTAACGACGACGGAGACGACGCCGACGACGACAACGACGGACGACGGACGCCAAGTGATGAGAAAAGCTCACTTGGCCCTTCGGGCCAGGTGAGCTAAAAACAGCAAAATTACCTTAAAATTACCAATTCAGGGGCAGCAACCCAACAACGGGTTGTCAGATTCATCTGAAAATTTCAGGGCAGATAGATCTTGACCTGATAAACAATTTTACTTCATGTCAGATTTGCTTTAAATGCTTTGGTTTTTGAGTTAAAAGCCAAAAACTGAATTTTACCCCTATGTTCTATTTTTAGCCGTGGCGGCCATCTTGGTTGGTTGACCAGGTCACGCCACACATTTTTAAAACAAGATAACCAAATGATGATTGTGGCCAAGTTTGGTTTAATTTGGCCACGTAGTTTCAGAGGAGAAGATTTTTGTAAAAGATTACTAAGATTTACGAAAAATTGTTAAAAATTGACTATAAAGGGCAATAACTCCTAAAGGGGTCAACTGACCATTTCAGTCATGTTGACTTATTTGTTAATCTTACTTTGCTGAACATTATTGCTGTTTACAGTTTATCTCTATCTATAATAATATTCAAGATAATAACCAAAAACAGCAAAATTTCCTTAAAATTACCAATTCAGGGGCAGCAACCCAACAACAGGTTGTTCGATTCATCTGAAAATTTCAGGGCAGATAGATCTTGACCTAATAAACAATTTTACTTCATGTCAGATTTGCTCTAAATGCTTTGGTTTTTGAGTTATAAGCCAAAAACTGCATTTTACCCCTATGTTTTATTTTTAGCTGTGGCCGCCATCTTGGTTGGTTGGCCGGGTCACGCCACACATTTTTTAAACTAGATACCCCAATGATGATTGTGGCCAAGTTTGGTTTAGTTTGGCCCAGCTGTTTCAGAGGAGAAGATTTTTGTAAAAGATAACTAAGATTTACGAAAAATGGTTAAAAATTGACTATAAATAGCAATTACTCCTAAAGGGGTCAACTGACCATTTCGGTTATATTGACTTATTTGTAAATCTTACTTTGCTGAACATTATTGCTGTTTACAGTTTATCTCTATCTATAATAATATTCAAGATAATAACCAAAAACAGCAAAATTTCCTTAAAATTACCAATTCAGGGGCAGCAACCCAATAACGGGTTGTCCGATTCATCTGAAAATTTCAGGGCAGATAGATCTTGACCTGATGAACAATTTTACCCTTTGTCAGATTTGCTCTTAATGCTTTGGTTTTTGAGTTATAAGCTAAAAACTGCATTTTACCCCTATGTTCTATTTTTAGCCGTGGCAGCCATCTTGGTTGGTTGACCGGGTCACGCCACACATTTTTAAAACTAGATACCCCAATGATGATTGTGGCCAAGTTTGGTTAAATTTGGCCCAGTAGTTTCAGAGGAGAAGATTTTTGTAAAAGTTTACGGACGACGGACGCAGGACGACGGACGACGGACGCAAAGTGATGAGAAAAGCTCACTTGACCTTTCAGGTCAGGTGAGCTAAAAATGCAGTTCTTTTAATAAAAGGTGCAAGGGGAAAAATAACCCTACGTAAATCATTCAAGAAATAAAAGAAGAATGTGTCCATGGTTAACAGTTGCCCCCAATTGTAAATTAACGGCAAATTTAGCATTTTCTTCCATTCATAAAAGGACATAACTCAAGAAAGGTGAAAGAGACGCTACCCAAATTCAAACTTGATCTGTGTTTGATGGCATTGTGTGTAACTTTGAAAACATTTGTTCAGGCAAATTAAAGTTGGAGGGAGGAAACAGCAAATTCAGCAATTTACCCGTTTTTAAAGCTTAAGGGAGAACTTGAGAACAGTAAAGTGACGGCACCCTAATTTGATCTTGATCTGTGTTTGAGGGAAACAGCAAATTCAGCCATTTTCAAGCATATTGCAATGAGTTCCATTGCAGTTCTATAGTTAACATATACCTCACAAACTGCTAATATCTTTAAATTAGAATGATGTATGTCTGAATTGGTAATATCTGGAAAGACAATATCAGGTATAGATGAAACAGCTTTATCTCCTATATCAACCTGTGCTTTACCAATAACAGGAACACTCCTATAAAATATTAAAATTTCTTTACACATCAAAAAGATGGTATAAAAAATCAGATATTACATGTGTATCAGGATTCTTTCAAAATCTTAAAATATTTAAAATCGAGATTTGATCTTTGAACTGTGTCCCTACTCACATAATGCAGTTCCTTCAATTTATAAATAAATTTTTTTTTTTTTTTTTATTTCTTTTTCATGCAGAGCTAGGTCACAGATTTACAGGTACATGAACATGCATTGGTGTTTTTCTGACAATCCATTTTAAGGAGTTAGTATCTTCCAAAGTCATCAGTAAGCAGTTTCTAATCTAGTGAAATAAAAAATTCGTAAGGGTTCCGCGGAACCCAGTGTCTCGCCTACTTTTGGTGTTAATCGCAGGCTCAACAAAAATGAGGAAAAAAATTAATAAAAATATTCCTCTCTATACTATCTTTTGATTGTAAGAAGCTTCTGTCCAAGTTTGGTAAAAATCCAGGATAATTTATGAATCTAATAAATGTTTTAAAAACTTAAACTGCAGAATGTATGTACTGTTGACTGGAAGAAAAACTAAGTCCATTTATAAGTAAAATACAGAAAAAATGGAACAAAATTTTATCAAAATTTTCTTCTAGATACTATCTTTTGATTGTAAGAAGCTTCTGTCCAAGTTTGGTAAAAATCCAGGATAATTTATGAATCTAATAAATGTTTTAAAAACTTAAACTGCAGAGTGAATGTAATGTTAACTGGCAGAAAAACTAAGTCCATTTATAAGTAAAATACGGAAAAAGTGGAATTTTTTTTTTACAAAATTTACTTTGGATACTATCTTATGATCATAAACAAGCTTCTTTCCAAGTTTGGTAGAAATCCAGGATAGTTTAAGAAAGTTATTAAAATTTCAAAAACTTTAACCACAGAGTGAATGTAATGTTTCCTGGCAGAAAAACTAAGTCCACTTATAAGTAAAATACGGAAAAAATGGAATTTTTTTTTTACAAAATTTACTTTTGAATATAATCTTATGATCATAAACAAGCTTCTGTCCAAGTTTGGTAGAAATCCAGGATAGTTTAAGAAAGTTATTAAAATTTCAAAAACTTTAACCACAGAGTGAATATTTGTGGACGCCGCCGCCGACGACGACGACGCCGACGGAATGTAGGATCGCTATGTCTCGCTTTTTCGACAAAAGTCGAAGGCTCGACAAAAACACTATCATGGTACATTTTTTTTCATATTCCTTATTCATCAAAACCTCAAAATTTTACAGCAGCAAATAAAACGTAGTATTTCGGAATGCATGTACCAGTATCACACTGCTTAACTGATCCTTATCATTTTGTTTGAGGTCTGACTCTGTGGGATATGATCATGCACCACTGCTGTCATATAGCACAAGGAAGGAATTTCTGCATTTTTCTTTCTACTTCCTCACTTCTTAAATGATATGGCCTGTTAATTGGTTCAATTTTATAAATATTATTGAAATAACTCAACAAAATTAATTATAAGGAACATTTCCCCATGTTTATACCTTATATTTTAGGTTTGAACAGATTGTTTTTTTACTTCCCTTTTGCAGTCCTCGATGGGATTTGAATGTTACAGGCAATAAAACTGATAATACTAAAGACAAGAGTACACACCCTGAAATGTCTCGCCTGCTTTACTGACCACTGATTTTATGTTAAAATTCTTAAAGATAAAGGTTGTATCACATGAGGTCAATGTTAGATAAGTCCTGTCAGACAGACATGTACACCTAACAATTATTTCATACACCAAATATAGTTGACCTATAGCTATTGCTTATGGTAATTGAAAAACAGACCAAAACACCATGGATTTTTCTAGCATTCCACAGGGTCCGGTATTCGACCCATTCCCAATGGCAATTATCCTACATTTTTCCCAATTTTGGGAGTAAAATTCCCAAACGATCGCAAAATTTATTTTCATCTTTATTATTCATGATAGCGATGTTCATTTTGTTCAACCGCTAGCTTCATGCCAAAAATTGCCAACAAGTAATGAGTAAATCCGAGTAAAATGGTATCTGACTGACAAATACAACACTGAATAAAATGCTTTGCTGGGGCGCAGCTTGATACGACCGCAGAGGTCGAACCCTGAACAGTTGGGGCAAGTATGGACACAACATTCAAGCTTGATACAGCTCTGAATTTGGATTGTTATTAAATATTTGACACAGCATAGGTTTCTGACACAGAAAGAATGTGGTCTAAGAACTTGAATTTTTTTAATTTACCTATTATGGTCCAATGTCCAAAATCAAAATACATGGTTAGATTCAGCATATCAAAGAACCCCATATATTCAATTTTTGTTAAAATCAAACAAAGTTTAATTTTGGACCCCAATTTGGACCAACTTGAAAACTGGGCCCATAATCAAAAATCTAAATACATGTTTAGATTCAGCATATCAAAGAACCCCATATATTCAATTTTTGTTTAAATCAAACAAAGTTTTAATACTGGTCCCTATCTTAGACCAACTTGAAAACTGGGCCCATAATCAAAAATCTAAACACATGTTTAGATTCAGCATATCAAAGAACCCCAAGAATTCAATTTTTGTTAAAATCAAACTAAGTTTAATTTTGAACCCTTTGGACCTTAATGTAGACCAATTTAAAAAACAGGACCCAAAATTAAAAATCTAAATACACGGTTAGATTTGGAATATCAAAGAACCCCAATAATTCAATTTTAGATGAAATCAAACAAAGTTTAATTTTGGACCCTTTTGACCTCAATATGAACCAATTTGATAACGGGGTCCACAAATAAAAAATCTAAATACATGGTTAGATTCAGCATATCAAAGAACCCCATATATTCAATTTTTGTTGAAATCAAACAAAGTTTAATTTTGGACCCCAATTTGGACCAACTTGAAAACTGGGCCAAAAATCAAAAATCTAAATACATGTTTAGATTCAGCATATCAAAGAACCTCATATATTCAATTTTTGCTAAAATCAAACAAAGTTTAATTTTGGACCCTTTGGACCTTAATGTAGACCAATTTGAAAACTGGACCCAAAATTTAAAATCTAAATACACTGTTAGATTCAGCATAACAAATAAATAAATGTGATCAGAGATTTTACAAATCTAATGCGCCATACTGTGCAATTAAAGATTACTTCTTGAAATTTTTCATTATTTGAAATTTGAAAAAAAAAAAAATATTTGAAGAATAATTCTTTTTAATTTTTGAAATCTGAAATGAGAAAAAATTGACCCCCCACAATTTCTTTTTATCCCCCCCCCCTTTTTTCCCCCAAAAAATTCTTTCCCTCAAGATATGTTCATAATCTCAATTCAAATTTCCAATGGAGTTGGCAACCATAATTACCCATTTAAATTTACCATAGTGCTAACTTAATCTATTTTATAATAGAATTAATAAAATGCTCTGCAGGGCGCAGCTTGATACGACCGCAGAGGTCGAACCCTGAACAGTTGGGGCAAGTATGGACACAACATTCAAGCTTGATACAGCTTTGCATTTGGATTGTGATTAAATATTTGACACAGCATAGGTTTCTACACAGAATGAATGTGGTCTAAGAACTTAAAAATTTTAAATTGGACATTCACCTATTATGGTCCAATATCCAAAATCTAAATACATGGTTAGATTCATGCAGCATATCAAAGAACCCCAAGAATTCAATTTTTGTTAAAATCAAACAAAGTTTAATTTTGGACCTTTTTGACCTCAATGTGGACAAAGTTGATAACGGGGCCCAAAAATCAAAAATCTAAATACATGGTTAGATTCAGCATATCAAAGAACCCCATATATTCAATTTTTGTTGAAATCAAACAAAGTTTAATTTTGGACCCCAATTTGGACCAACTTGAAAACTGGGCCCATAATCAAAAATCTAAATACATGTTTAGATTCAGCATATCAAAGAACCCCAAGAATTCAATTTTTGTTAAAATCAAACTCAGTTTAATTTTGGACCCTTTGGACCTTAATGTAGACCAATTTGAAAACGGAACCAAAAATTAAGAATCTAAATACACGGTTTGATTCGGCATATCAAAGAACCCCAATAATTCAATTTTTGATGAAATCAAACAAAGTTTAATTTTGGACCTTTGGACCTCAATGTGGACCAATTTAAAAACGGGGCCCAAAATCCAAAAACTTAATGCACGGTATGATTCAGCATATTAAAAAACCCCAAGAATTCAAGAATAAAACCCCATTGAAATTGGTCAAGAAATAAGCAATTTATATGAAGTATCTTCTTTTGCACAATACTGTGCAATTAAATATTTCTTGCTATTGCGCAATACTGTACAATTGACAATTTCTTGCTATTGCGCAATATTGTGCTATTGGATATTTCTTGCTATTGCGCAATACTGTGCAATTGAAGATTTCTTGCTATGGCGCAATACTGTGCAATTGAAGATTTCTTGCTATTGTGCAATACTGTGCAATTGAAAATTTCTTGCTATTGCACAATACTTATTATATAATAATTTACACATCCTGTTTGGTGTGTATCTCCTACCATATCATTATTATTTGCTTTTAAATATAAATCAGAAATAACCAACTTAAAATGGAAAATTTTAAAAGAAAAAAAAAAGGAAAAAAAGAAAAAAAAGGAAAAAAAAAAAAATCCCCCCCCAAATTTTTTGAACCCCCTTATGATTCATCACCCCCAAACTCAAACCCAGCTTTCCCTTTGTGATATGGAACCTTGTAGTACAATTTCAGAAAGATCCATACACTTACACACAAGTTATTGTCCTGAAACTAGAAAAATGCTTGTTTTTTGCCCCTTTTTGGCCCCTAATTCCTAAAATATTGAGGCAATTACCCCCATCATCAATCCCAGCCTTCCCTTTGTGGTATGGTACCTTGCAGTACAATTTCAGAGAGATCCATACACTTACACACAAGTTATTGTCATGAAACTAGAAAAATGCTTGTTTTTTGCCCCTTTTTTGGCCCCTAATTCCTAAAATTTTAAGGCAATTACCCCCAAAATCAATCCCAGCATTCCCTTTGTGATTTGGAACCTTGTGGTACAATGTCAGAGAGATCCATAAACTAACACACAAGTTATGTCTGGAAGTTACAAAAATGCTTATTTTTGGCCCCTAATTCCTTTACTGTTGGTACCATAACCCCCAAAATCAATCCCAACCTTCCTTTTGTGGTATTGAACCTTGTGGTAAAATTTCATAGAGATCCATTCACTTAAACTAAAGTTAGAGTGCGAAAACCAATGTGTCTTCGGACGACGCTGGACGACGACGACGCCGGACGACGACGACGACGCCAACGTCATACCAATATACGACCACAAAAATTTTTTTTGCGGTCGTATAAAAATATAGTGTCAAATCTTTCATATGGATTTTTTTGTAAAAAAAAAAGATGCAACATTTGCAGATATTTTTACTGGTCTTCCTTTATAAATATGCATTTCTTTAAACATAACTTAAAAACAGTGTAAGGGAAGTAACCAAAATGTTGTATTTGGATTACTTCCCTTACACTGTTTTAAATTATCTTTATTGTTCATTAACCATTACTTTATACATAATTTAAAAGCAGTGTAAGGGAGATAATTTCAATGATGTATTTGATTTATCTCCCTTACACTGCTTTAAATTATGTTTTGTACTAAAGTATTTGTCCATTAACCAGGACAACCTTGTTTTTCCCCCTTTTTTGCCCCTAATTCCTAAATGGTTTGAGCCATAACCCCCCAAAGCAAATCCTAACCATCCCTTTGTGGTATGGAAACTTGTAGTATAATTTCAGAGAGATCCATACACCGTTCTACAGTTATTGTCTGGAAACTAGAAAATGCTTATTTTGGCCCCTTTTTGGCCCCTTATTCCTTAACTGTTGGTACCATAACCCCCAAAATCAATCCCAACCTTCCTTTTGTGGTAGTTAACCTTATGGTCAAATTTCAAAAAGATCCATTCACTTAAACTAAAGTTAGAGTGCGAAAACCAATGTGTCTTCGGACGACGACGCCAACGTCATACCAATATACGACCACAAAATTTTTTTGCGGTCGTATAAAAACAATGGATGCCATAAACAGGAAATGAAGACAATTACAATACCCGGATCAGATTCCGGGGGTGGATAAGGGTAATTCCGGGTTTGCCGATCAAATACAATAAAAAAATAATAGTTCCAGGCAGGTGACAAAATACATCTATGATGATGAAATACAAACTCTAGAATTGAAAACTAAAAGATATATGGAAAAGAAAGATAAAGCAGGAAATATTTTATACAGAAATTCAAAAATACTTTAAGTTCACAAATTTTCATGTCAAAATCCAATAAAATGTGACAGTAATTTTCTTTATCATTAATAAATGTTGATATTACATGTAGATGTTTTTATAGCTAGTGTAAACATATTACTTCAATTCCAAGAGGTAATTTCTTCTCATTTTTGAAGGGCCAGTAAAAATCTGGAAGTTTCTTACTTTATTTTCACAATAAAAGATAAACTTTTAATGAACTAAACACACTAAAACTCAAATCTGGTATATTTGCTGTTTTCCCAATTTCACTGAAAAGCCCGTGAAAAAATTCCCAAAACTGGCCAGGGTCCTTTTTCCCAAAATACCCAGAAAAAACCCTGAACACACAACCCACTGTTGACCAATGAACCTTAAAAGTGAGGTCAAGGTCAGATTTTACCTGCCAGACAGACATTAACACCTTATAATGATTCCATATACCAAATATAGTTGACCTACTGCTGATAGTACTTGAAAAAACAAATCAAAACACAAAAACTTTACATTGACCAATGTATCACGACAATGAGGTCAAGGTAAGATAATCCTGCCAGACTGACATGTACTCCTTACAATCATTCCACACACCACATATGGTTGATCTACTGTTTTTAGTATCTGAAAAATGGACCTAATCACATAACTTCAACCTTGAGTACTGATCCATGGAATGAGGTCAAGGTCGTGTGAACTCTGTCTGACTGACATGTAATTGTTGCAAGGAGCCCATATTTACCAAATATAGTTATCGTATTACTCATAATAAGTGAGAAATTCACATGACAATAAAAATATAATTTTTTTTCCAAGTAATCACTGAACCATGAAAATGAGGTCAAGGACAATAAATATATGACAGAAGGAAACTTCACAACATAAGGTATATCCATACATGGTATGAAGCATCCAGGTCTTCTACCTTCTGAAATATAAAGCTTTAATTTTTATACCAATAGTTTACATAACAACAACGCCACTGGAAAGTAATTCATGTAATTAGAATTGCACAACAAAACAAGAAATGATTGGTCATATTGAAATGCACATTTCTCCACACAAAAATATTCACAAAGTTAAAGAGTTTTTCATATTATTTATAAATGTTTTCCTCAAAATGTTTACCGTTTAAGTCAAGTAAAAACGAACACATCTGGAAAGCCAATATTGAACTAAGGCTGTTCTGTGATCTTATTCATTCAATCCTAGCTTACATTCATTAAAAAGATTGCCTCTGGCGTCCCATTTATTTCTGTCTGATTAGAAACAACATAATAATCATGTGAGACACATGAGATAGCATTCCACATACATTTTGTATAATTCCTGCTAAGTGGTTTCAGGGAAGATGAATATGTTAAATGTTTACAGATCAAAGAGGATTTGACTACCATGACTACAACAATGGCTGCCAGGTGACAGCATTAGCTCATACGGCCTTTCAAACCAGATACAATGTAAGATACAAGATTACACCTAAATCCATTCCTTTTAAGCTGTATTAATATGCACTTACAAACTCATTAATCCAAACTGTGCAGCAAATTCTTGAAACAAACTCTGATACATTGCTTCTGTCAAGTTCTGGGTTGTCTTAATCATACTCATATTTATCAACTGCTGGACAAAGAGTTCCCCATGAACTCGAAACCTAAAAAATAATGACAAATTGTTAATGCGTCTTATTCTATAGCAAAGTATCCCTACAACCATGAATGCAACATTAAAATGGGACAATTTATTCTTAATCAAAGTGATCTGAAATCACTGATGGAAAGATTGGCGAAATTGTGTGTATAATTTCAATCATATATTACTTTACCATTTCAGTAATAGTGGACAAGAACAACTTGCTATAGCACTATTGCTTATTTGTTAGTTACATTACTGCAGATTTTAGGAAAGATCTGCAATTTTTCAGTGGATAGAATAGCTTGCACTAGCCACAAGGTCATATTTTTCTCTTACTGTTTATGACGTCTTTAAACTAAATCCATTGGATGTTGGATGTGTACTGATTGATAATTAAGTCATAGATGCATCATTTTTTTATTAGTTGTTATTGGCTTTGAACAAGTCATTAACTGCAAGTACTCTCAGATCTGTACTTAAGTGTCTTTTTGTTGTTGGGATGTACAATTACCTAGCCACGTCCACTCTGTGTTTTTGTTAGATGTATTTCTATTTGTATCCATCTGATGAGTTAAGCCTTTTTCAACTGATTTTTATAGTTTGTTCTTATGTTGTACCGTTACACCACTATCTCAGGTTAGGGCACCTGCTAACATGTTCAACCCCGCCACATTCTATATGTGCCTGTCCTAAGTCAGGAGCCTGTAATTGAGTGGTTGTTGTTTTTTGCTGTTGATCATGTGCGTTGTTTGTTTGTTATTTTGTGCAGTTCTTGTGTTGTTCTATTGTGCCACTGACCCAGGATTAGGTGAGGGTTGGAAGCCCACTAACATGTTTAACCCCACCACATTCTGTATATATATGCCTTTCCCAAGTCAGGAGTCTGCAATTCAGTGGTTGTCGTTTGTTGCTGTGTTACATAATTGTTTTTCATTCATTATTTTGTATATAAATTAGGCCGTAAGTTTTCTCGTTTGAATTGTTTTACATTTGTCATTTCGGGGTCTTTTATAGCTGACTATGTGGTATGGGCTTTGCTCATTGTTGAAGGCCGTACGGTGACCTATAGTTGTTAATTTCTGTGTCATTTGGTCTCTTGTGAAGAGTTGTCTCATTGGCAATCATACCACATCTTCATTTTCATAATAGAAATCAGTGTCTGTAGGTCATTAAATTTGCATAATAACTTCTTTTAACTTTTCATTTTAATAATTCTATTTTTTAAACAGAGGAAATTACCAAATAAAAAAAAATATCAATCATTGTAGTTTTTCAGTAAACCTGGGACCAATGGATAAAGAAACTTGAAATGAAGTCCTTTTAAGAATGGCCAAGTGAGCTTTTCTCATCACTTAGCGTCCTTTGTAGTTGTCCGTCATCGCTGTAAGAATCTTTGCTAGCCAAGTGTTACGATCCAGTCCCCTCCTCTCCACCCTGGGCAAATTAAGCCAACATTATTTTGTGATTACAATGCTGCGTCATCTAACAGTAGATAAAAGTCATGCCCATTCCGACTATATCATTCATGACCAATGGCAGCACTTGAACTTTCTTCAGTGTGAAGGTGTTAAAATGGTTGTGTCTGGGTAGTGTTTACAAATTTCATGAAGCAGGGACCAAAATATACATGATATATGTTGGTATTTCAACATTTCAACTAGAAAGATATCAAGGAACTTAAATTAGTTGATTAAGAACTTTAAAATTGTCATTTGTTGCACAAAAAGCATGTGGCATGTGGCAATTGTTTATTGACATTTTCTACATTTACACATGATCATTTTAAAGGCGCTTTTTGATTGAATGCAGCAACTTATAACTGTGACCAATGGAAATCATTACCTCATCCACCCGAAATTCTATCTTAACCCGCCAAGGGTGGGCAGGAGCGGACTGGATCCTAACCCTTGGCTAGCAAAGATGCGTTGTCCATTATCTTTTACAAAAATCTTCTCCTCTGAATCTACTGGACCAAATTTAACCAAACTTGACAACAATCATCATTGGGGTATCTAGATTAAAAAATGTGTCAGATAACCCGCCTGCTAACCAAGATGGCTGACATTGCTAAAAATAGAACATACAAATGTAGGGGTAAAATGTAAGTTTTGTCTATTGTTTTGAAAACTGTTATAAATAGAAAATCTGACAAGGGCAGAAATGTTCAGAATGTTGAGATCCACCAATTGTCCATTTTAGTCAAAACTGTCAGGCGACTTCTTATACATGTTATAGGAGTTATTGCCCTTAAATGAAAATGTTTTCCATTTTTTTCATTTTTGCCTATTAACTTGAAAAATATAATGGAAAGAGAGAAACTTTAAGTTGTTAAAATGATCAGCAAGACAAGATCTACAAATAGATGCTACATTTATGTTTCAGCCAATTGCTGCCATTATCTCTAAAAAAAGCTTTTGTCAAATTAGGTTTCATAAAATTCTATGAAGGTTTCACAAAGTAATAAATGTGTAACAAACTTCAACACCAGACATGTACAGTATCTATTTGTTTACTGTTAAAAAACACTAAACCCATTTACCATGTTAACCAGTAAAATACAGAAAAATTTTGCTCTGGATACTGTATGTCATTCAGTAACAAGCTTCTGGCCAAATTTCATAAAATTCCATGAAGGTTTGGCAAAGTTATTGAAAACTGAAAAACTTCAACCTCAGACCGAATCTGAATGTTAACTGTAAAAAAAAATTTAGTCCATTTATCAGTAAAATACAGAAAAAATGAAAATAAAAAATTCTGGTCTGAATACGGTACTGTATTTTGGTCATGTTGGTCATATACAAGCTTCTGTCCTAATTTCATAAAATTCCATGAAAGTTTGACAAAGTTATTGATGTCTATAGTAAAACTTTAACCACAGACTGAACCTACATATGTAACTAACCTAAATGACGGAATCTAGGAATAGGAACACTATGTCTTCATGGTCTTGTTTTCGCAATGTTCAAAAACATGATAAATGTCGCAGGCTTGACAAAAACCTAATAAGTTGTCAAATTGGTGCAGTTGTATGCCAGTTTTAAATGGCCCAAATAAAACATTTAATTTTCAAAATGTAGTGGCACAAAAGCATTTTTTGACAAAATAGACCTGTGGTGCAAATGCATGCATTTTTGTCAGGAATAAATATTGGTCGTAAACACCTACCCTATGTTATCTACATGTACTTTTTGATTTTATTAGGAGAAAATCTATGATTTCATGTACTATTTAAAGAACGGACACAAGATTCTTGCAATTTTCTAAGCCAAAATGGTGATTTTATCTTGTTACTTTATTTTCTACCAGATTTCTAACAATTTATTGTGATTTTTTTTTCTCTTCACCTACATTGTAGTACATTTACACACATATATATATATATATATATATCAAAATATAGCTGCATGTATAAGTACATACATGTAGTTGCTTTTTATCTATTCATCATTGTTCATTGTACTACGCATACACACAATGTATAATCATAAACTGTTAACACAGAGATATGTCTCGCCTATATGTTATTTTGATAATGCAAATGTTAAAATTAAAATAGCAATACTTTAACATGTAAGTTATGCAAATATTCAAAGTCAATGAACCATGACTGTAGGTACAGGGCTAAACAATCACCATGGAAATGAGATGTGCCAATGCTAATACAACTGCAAATCAAATACCATTGACTTTTCATAAGTCGTTCCCTTTAAACAAACCTAAACACAAACATTAACTTGTAAACTATGTCAAAGTTTCAAAGTCAATGAACCATAATTAGGGGGTGGGGTTATATAATCTCCATGGAAATGAAACTTACCGAATATCATTGACTTAACATTAGTGGTTCATCTTGAACTGACCTAATCACAAACCAATACATGTAAACTAAGCAAAAGTTTCAAAGTCAATAGACCATGACTGAGGGGTAAGGACCAAATATTCTCCATGGAAATGAGATGTGCTAATGCTTATACAACTGCATACCAATTATCATTGACCTACCACTAACAGTTACCCTTAAACTGACCTAATCACAAACTAATACATGAAAACTAAGCAAAAGTTTCAAAGTCAATAGACCATGAATGAGGGGGTGGGCCAAATAATCTCCATGGAAATGAGATATGCCAATGCTTATACAACTGCATACCAAATATCATTGACCTACCACTAGTGGTTCCCCATAAACTGACCTAATCACAAACTTATACATGTAAACTACATGTAAGCAAAGTTTCAAAGTCAATAGACCTTGACTGAGGGGGCAGGGCTAAATAATCTCCATGGTAATGAGATGTTCCAATGTTAATACAACTGCATGCCACATATCATTGACCTACCACTAGTGGTTCCCCATAAACTGACCTTATCACAAACTAATACATGTAAACTAAGCAAAGTTTCAAAGTCAATAGACCTTGACTGAGGGAGCAGGGCCAAATAATCTCCATGGTAATGAGATGTGCCAATGCTAATACAACAGCATACCAAATATCATTGACCTACCACTAGTGGTTCATTATGAACTAGACCTAATCACAAACTAATACATTGTTGATGCCGCCGCCGGAAACAGCATACCTATGTCTCGCTTTTTGACTCTGTCAAGGCGAGACAAAAATCTAGAAGTCTTAACGAATTGTTTTCCTATCTTTGAAATAATTCTCTTGATTTACTATAGGAAAACTCCCCACTAAAAAGCCACTGACTTAAGGGGGAGTTTCCCTATACATTCATGATATTTTGACAATTTAAGAAGAAAAGTTTTACATTTATTATATACATGTATGTATATCTTTACTGGGTATTATTTAGCTGACAAACTGTTGACAGAGAGGAGCCAGACGTTCAGATTTAAGCTGAGGTACACCATACATTTGTTGTATTTAGACTGTACACATCATGCACATGTAGGACAAAAAAGTCATTTTACAATTTTGATCTACACAAAATTAATGTATCAGCCATTTCTGCAAAATTTTGACATCAAGAGAAAATGTTAGACTCCACAAAAGAAAA